AAGTAGCATTTAGCTGTAAATGAGGAGAAAAGAAATTTGAAGCTTCTGTGTAAGAACACTGATGCTGTGCATGACAACTACTGCTGTTCTCAACTACCTATTGTGCTGTACTGAGATAGACATAAGAGCCAAATACAGAAAAGGAAGGAGGAGGAAATTCCATAATGTCTGGAGTTCATATTAGAATCAAATGAACAGAAACTCAGACTTTTTGGACCTAAACAACTGAACAAAGCCGTGACAATGCTGGAAAAGCCAGGGCCAGAAAGTAAGGAAAGCAATGTATTTCTGTTCAGTACAAGCTAAAGTTTCTCTTCACCATACTGCCATATTTGGGTTCTACTATGCTTTAGACAAAGGTCTAAAAATGAGTATAATGGAATAGTATAAGGCTTTAGGGATATAATCAGAAAGGCTAAGGAACAAATGAGTTACATCTGGAGATGTAAAAGGCCGTACAAAAGTCTAGATAAATATATGAGAAGTAAAAGGAAGGCAGAAAAAAACCTAAGGTCCATTATGTAACAAGGAAGGAGAGTAAATAACAGATAACCCAGAAGGGACTGAATGTTCAATGCCCACATTACTTCCATCTTCACAAAAAAAGTTAATGGTGACCAGACACTTAATGTCTTTGATTCAAAGAATGGTATAGGAATACAAGGCAGAATATGGGAGGATGAGAAGAGAGTTAATAACTCTTTGAAAATTCTAGGATTACAGGGGAGATGCCAAGATTGGAAAGGACAAATAAGGAAAAAAGGATAATCAAACAAATTATAGACTAATGGGCCTGCCCTCAGTATGGGGATATAGATTTTCACCCAGGATGCCACATCACTCTGGAGTGCCTTGAAGATCCTCTCAAGGATGCTGCAGGGTACCACACAATGTTAACAATGTTAGGTGTGAAAAAATGTTCTTAAGGTAAACGCAGAGACTTAAAAATAGGAATCCATAGTGTCAAAAACATTCTGCTCTGTTGTTGTCTTTCAGAGTTCTTTGCACAGAAGAATTCCTCCAGTATTTTCCTATAGTCAGAAAATAAGTAAAAACTAGGAGCTGGCATTTTCTGAGGGGTGCCTCAAGTCTAAAGAGCTTGAGAACCCCTGATATATGTAGATGTAACTGTATCATTATTTAAGGATACAGACACAAGCTGTTATGATGCTGCTCTTATGTCTACATGATTCTGTAGTGATGTAATAGTATCAAAGTCACTTGACTTGAACCCTGCTTCATTCAGAGTCAAAGTTAGGGAAATTTAGCTCATTTGTATCACTGCAAGATCATGCTGACATAACACTTATAGAAAAAGAGCTTCTGTACACTCCTAAACAAAAACCTCCCATTCCCCTTTCAAAATGGCTAAATAAAATATTGGTTTGTTCATACCCCCAGATAGCTTTTAGAATGCATCATTAAACAATCAGCTTATTTGCACCTACAGAGTGATACAGTGATAAAAATATGAAAACAGATTTGTCAAAAGCTAGAGAAGGAAGAGGACATGGACTCCCAGGATGGTGGAAGCTGAAAGCTTGTGACCTCTGGCAGCAGGCAAAAGTCTGCATCTCTACCTGTAGCAGTTTGCCTGGGAAACAGATATGGAGCCCAAGCAACAGAGGAGGAGAAGCACATTCCATTGGTGGAAGAGACCAGGCCAGACATCTCAAGGTTGAGAGAATCGAGACCACTGCCACCAAGAGCAAGCAACAGCTGATGGTGGTTACAGACTCACTTCTGCAGGGGACAAAGGCATCCATCTCCCATTGTCTTGGGAGGTCTGCTGCTTGCCCAGAGCCTGGAACCAAGATGTCACAGACTCATCTGACCCTCTGACAACTACCCCATCCTGCTCAGCCATGTGGGCACCAATGATACTGCGGGGGTGACCTGGAGCAGATCAGAAGTGACTACAGGGCTCTGGGTGCAAGGGTGAAGGGTACAGGGGCTCAGATGGTGTTCTCCTCGATCCTTCCAGTCAAGGCGGAGGGCCCAGGCAGGAGCAGACACATCCTTCAGATCAATGCATGGCTGAGCAGATAGTGTCATCAATAGTGTCATCAATAGGGCTTTGGCTTCTTCGACCATGGGATGTACAAGTCCATGGGGCCGGACATGATGCACCCAAGGGTGCTGGAGGAGTTGGCTGATAAGACTAATGTGAAAAATGGCAATTGGGAGAGGTCCTGGATGATTGTCAAAGGGAAAATACAGCACCCATCTTTAAGAAAGGGACAAAAGAGGATCAGGAGAACTACAGACCAGTCAGCCTCGCCTCAGTCCCCAGAAAAAATCATGGAGCAGGTCCTCAAGGAATCCATTTCTAAGCACTTGGAGGAAAAGAAGGTAATTAGGAACAATCAGCATGGATCCACCAAGGGCAAGTCATGCCTGACCACTTGATTGCCTTCTCTAATGAGATGACTGGATCTGTGGATTGAGCAGAGCAAAAGAGGTAATATACCTTGACTTTAGCAAAGCTTTTGATATGGTCTCCCACAATACTCTCGCCAGCAAGCTAAGGAAGTACAGGTTGGATGCATGGACTGTAAGGTGGATAGAAAGCTGGCTGGATCATCAGGTTTAAAGGGTAGTAATCAATGGCTTGATGTCTAGTTGGTTGCTGGTATCAAGTGGAGTGCTCCAGGGGTTGGTCCTGGGACTGGTTTTGTTCCATATCTTCATCAGCAACCTGGAAGATAGTATGGAGTGTACCCTCAGCAAGTTTGCAGATGACACCAAGATGGGGGGAAGGGTAGGGCTAGGATTCAGAGAGACCTAGACAACTTGGAGGACTGAACCAAAAGAAATCTCCTGAGGTTCAAGAAGGACAAGTGCATAGTCCTGCACTTAGGATGGAACAGTTCCATGCACCACTCAGGCTGGGGAATGATTGGCTAAGCAGCAGCTCTGCAGAAAAGGACCTGGATGTTACAGTGGATAATAAGCCAGCAGATCAAGGGAAGTGATTATTCCTCTCTATCTGGCACTGGTGAAGCTACATCTGGAGAACTGTGTCCAGTTTTGGGTCCCCAACTACAGAAAGGACGTAGATAAATTGAGGGGTCCAGTGTAAGGCAATAAAAATGGTTAGGGAGAGAGAGACACATGACTTATAAGAAGAGGCTGAGGGAACTGGGCTTATTTGGTCTGCAGAAGAGAAGACTGAGGGGGGATTTAACAGCAGCCTTCAACTACCTGAGGCGTGGTTACAAAGAAGATGGAGCTAGACTGCTCTCAGTGGTGACAGATGACAGAATAAGGAGTAGTGGTTTCAAGATGCAGCAAGGGAAATTTAGGTTAGATATTAGGAAAAACTCTCACTGGGAGGGTTGTAAAGCACTGGAACAGGTTATCCAGAGAAGTGGTGGAATCTACATCCTTGGAGGTTTTTAAGACCCAGATACACAAACCTTGTCTGGGATGATCTAGTTGGAGATGGTCCTGCTTTGAGTAAGGGGTTGAACTAGATGACCTCCTGAGATCCCTTCCAACCCTAATTTTCTATGATTCTATAAAAAGTAAATCTTTTCAAACCAATCAAATTACCTCCTTTGATAGGACGTCTACCTAGTCTACCTGATAAGGGGAAAACAACAGATGGATTATATGTTGACTTTGCTACGGCATTTGATACTATTCCACATGATATCCTCAAATGCAAGCTAGAGAAATGTGCTCTAGGTTAAATAAACATAAGGTGGATTAATTAATTTGGAAAAATGTGCTCAACAAGTACCTATGAGTGGTTCATTATCAGATTGGCAGACATTTAAAACTTTGCAGATAACACCATACTGGGAAGCGTTGCAAGCACTTTGGATAGTAGGACTGGAATTCAAAATTATTTTGATAATCAGAGAAATGGTTTTAATTTGATAAGACTCAGTAAAGTCAATGGCAAAGTATTGCATTTAGAAAGGGAAAATGAAACATACAAATAGAAAATAACTGATCAGACAACAGTACTGTTGAAAAGGATCTTGAGGTTACAGAGGTCCAGAGACAGAACATTATTTTAAAAAATGATACTTTTGCAAAAATGTCAGTTTTGTTCTTTGATGTATGAAGAGGAGATCTTATTATATATGACAATGTGTGAGATACCAGAGAAAAGTATTCCATTCTATTCACCACTGGTGATACCTAAGCTGGCTGCATATTGGCTGGTATCCATTTTCCATACTTTAAAAAAAGATATAGAAAAATTGAAGAGAATCCTGAGAAAAGCAACAAGAATGGGAAGGAATATAGATACGTGTAAGGAGTATAGAAACATGATATATGAGGGCATTTGGAAGGAATTTGGTTTGTCGAGTATAGGAAGGAGAAGACTGGTGCTAGAACATGATAATCATCTTTCAATAAGTAAAAACTGTTACAAGGAAAAAGGTGATCAATTATAATACCACTACACTAGATAGGACAAGAATTAATCAGCTTAATTTCCAAAAGAAGATTTAGGTTAGATGCAAAGGGAAAAAACGTCTAACATAGGCACTGGAACAGGCTATGAGAATATACACATGTATCAGAGTAAGTGAGTATTCTGAATTTTTTTCCCATAACGTACACCTCAGTTTAGCTTGTTGATAGGTTATCAGCTAGCTGCATAATACAGAATGCTATTGGTTAAACCAACAGAAAATGAAACAATGGCAAATAAAAGGTATGCTCATAGAATATCAAGGATCTCTTTCACCACAATATGGTGAAGGGGAAATTAACTGGGAAATGCAACCATACCACCCACTCCCAGTAATATGATAAAATTACCTATCCTCAAACCCAAATGTAGAATCAAAGGCATTAGAGAAAGTCTTACAGCAAATTTAAAATCCTTCACAAAACTGAACTGAATAGTGGTTACTCCTAAATGACACCATTATAAACAAGAACAAGAACAACATTCTCTTAGTATATACACACAGCATATTATTGAAATGCATATTGCTTAATGTGATGGCATTAAAAATGTAAATCAATCCACTTACTGCGAGAGAGATTCTCAAGGGCTTTCCCCAGCTTCTTACTCTCCTGTAGAATATGATTTAATTCATCAAAATCACGGCTCTCTGTTTTTGTCCACCAGTCCCATTTAGGATGCTCTATCGACCTTGGCACTAGGTAAAATATATATAAAGTTTAGATTTCATGGTTTAGAAATCTACAGTAGCAACAAGCTAAGCAAAGAGTCAACAAGATCAAGAATCTTCATAACTTTGGACTAAGTTTTCCCCTCCTTATTACACTAGCTGGAGAGATTTCTCTTTTGGTTGGCGGAATAGCTACATGAAAATCAAGTCCACAGAAAGGATGACATCTAGGAGTAAGTAAACCAGTAATTCTCAGACAAAAGTAAAATGTAAATAATGCTGTGCAACTAAAACTGCTGCATCAACATCATAATTGAAATGAGTGCCGTAAGTGCCAAGGAGGAGAGAAGAACACCAAAATGGGGGGGGGGGGGACAAATTTTGGGGGTGGGTAAAAAAGAAAGAAGAAAAAAAAGGGGGGGGGGGGGGCACAATTTTGGGTTCGGTTAAAATATTATTATAAACAAAACAATTCAAGTACTCAGGCTAATGTGTGTACAACAGGCCCAAGATTTAAGTTAGGATGGTTCACGATCTGCTTCATTTGTGGTAGATTGCCAAAATAAGAAAAGGCCATTCAACAGCAGACTTCAAAGGGTGCTACGTCTACAATTAGCTGTGTCTCATCAGTAACCCCACAAAACTGACTGAAGAATCAGTGCCCTTTGAAATAAAAGTTGCAGCAAACAGCTCAGAGGTCCTGTGCCACTGTTTGCTATAGCTCTGCAGAACCCATTCTCCAGTTAGTTCAAGGTAAATCATTATTAAATTTAATTAAGAACGTAACCTATGAAGTATCTGAACTAAGTTATACATATATTCTACTAACTAATTTTTATATCTGTGATATATTTCAATACTGTTTTATAAAACATTTAATATAAAATATTTATTTCAATAATAACATTATTTATTATTAAATAAATCACAATTATAAAATGTAGATAGCAGAATCTAAAAAGACAAATAAAATACAACTCCATTATGCACTAGAAGAGATTGTATACATTTCTTTTTTCCTGCTCTAGCTTTTGGAAAGCCTGAGTTGAGGGTCCTCTGATTACTGTGGTTTACAAAAAAACCCAGATTTTCTCTGAAGAGTGAATTATCTGAGTTGCCAAGCTGAGCTCAAATGCTGTCAGAGCAAAGAGAGAGGCAGTGTCTTAGCATAGACCCAAAACATATGCAGCTTTATAAATCAATATGAACACCCTGAATGGCTTATAGAAGTGAACTGAATAGGAAGAATATAGCTGTCTCTGGGGCATTGGTGTAATTAGAGCATTGGTAGGAGAGTGCTTATTAAGTGTAAATGTGAATTGTCTGTAGATACAGCATTACTCCAGTGTATAACATGGGCATATCTGGAAATAGTGAATCTGTGATGATGTCTGAACACTCTTCACAAGGAGCTAGTACAGTAGTCATATCAAATTCAGAGGAAGATAACTTTAGAAACAAGCAACTATGACCACTGATCCCACCTGATTTAAACCGGTCATATTTTCAATTGTGATTTGTCTCAATTCACTTTATATTTACAAACTACGTATGTATAAAATACAGAAAAATAATATAAAGATTCCTGGCTCCTGTGCAGTAGAAGCTGGTACTTGAAATAATTTCAGGTTTTAAAACGGTTTTGGGACCCCATTACAAGTTACACATTCTGGTTGATAGTATAAGATTGTTGTACAGCTGTTACTATCAATATTGCTCTGAGACTGAATGCTTCTGAGGAAATATGGAATCCACCTGGGATGGCAGCATTGCTGCCTGTCTCTACCAGACCAGGAACAAAGGCGAGTGAGTACTCTAAGCTCAACAGCCACTTATTCAAGATGAAGCACTTTGGAACAAGGGCCCTACTTGTGCTGTGAGAATATATTTTCTGCTCATGTCTGAAGACAGAGGAAAGTGGAAAGAGTAGAAAGTTGCCATAAATAAGACAAAGGATATGCCTACATATCCATATGCACACAAAGGTGTGACTACAGTTCATAAGGCATACCTGAGCGAGCTTTCAACTGAACTAGTTTGGTCACTGATAACACTGCAGTATACAGTAATGTAGGGTTTGGCTTGCTTTGCAAAACCCACTCACGACCATGAGTAAATATTCAGGCAACTGGACTGAACAAAACTTTGGACTGTGAGACTGACATACCCAAAAAGAAGGAAGTGACAAAGAAGGAGTTAAAAAAGAACCTACGGTTGAAAGACTGTGGGAGACATGCAAAGGGCAGGACAAGGGCAGAAAAAAACCTTTTTTTTGGTATGCCACCTTGTTCGAGTTGCAGGACTGATTGAGGTCAGAAAAAAAAAAACATTAGCTGCCTGCCTGCCTAAGGATAGATGGACTCAAACAAAAAGGGCAGCTACAGTGAGAGGACCTATACCCAGAAATCTTATCATCTCCTAATAATCCATAATTTACAGTGTTTTGTCTGTTAAGTAAAGCAATGGCATGTTCTGAAGCTGCAAAACCTATTACTATCTATGTCTGTCTCCTTGCACCTTCCATGAAGATCTTCATGACTTACAAAGACTTAAATTGCACATCAAAAGTAGGATGGTGGGATTCTACGGAAGAGTAGGCCTAAACTAGAGAGGCAGTTTACGGAGCCACATCTAGACTCTGAGGACAGGTAGTTGGACCATGGGTTGTAGCTAGCTCAAAAACATCAAACCCTAAGGCTAAGCCTCAATGCACAAGACAGGTCCATTGCCTGGACTCTGGACAGACTATGAAGGACTGAAACACCTAGGGGTATCATGGCTACCTTCCCCAGTAGCAATCTGAGATCATTGTTCAAACAGATAAGCATAAATCAAGCTCTAATTCTTTCCATATTTTGACCATGAAACTCATTAGCACTGACAGGAGAGACATAATACAATGAGAGAACTGACCTTTTTATGTTTTTGATGTATCAATTATCCTTTTAACTTCTGACCTACTATTTTATAGATCTTACTTTTTATACTAAGATTTTTAAAGGCTTTCTTAAGTTTATTAAAAGCCATCTTATCTTCTATACCAATGGTACTCAAGCTTTTGGCCCCAGGAGCCAGGTGAGGAGTACAGAGTACCTTGGAGAAGCTACACCCAAGGCCAAGGAGGGTTGAGGTGGGGGCGGGGGGAGGGGAAGAGGGTATGTAACCTGGCTGCAGTGGAGTAGGGGGCATTTGAACCAGGGCTAATCATGCAGCCCAACTCACTGCTGCCTCTTGCTGCAACAGTGCAGCCCAGGCTGGGGTGGCCCCAGGAGGTGGGGGTCAGCACCTGCTACCTCCCGCCTCTAGCCCCATGCAGGAGCTGCAGTTTACAGGCAAGCTGTAGATGAAGTGCCACTCCCTCTCCCCTCCCCGCTCCTGGCAGCGGCACCTGCAGCAGGCGGAGGTGAGGCACCTGTCACCCACTGCCTGCTCGTGATAGTGCCAGGTGCTTGGGGCAGGTTGCTGCAGGCCAGTTGCTGCGCACACTGCGGGGCCAGGCCAGACTGGGCTGTGGCAGTCCATTGACTTCCCCTGCCACTGCCCATGCCCCTGGCCCACAGCAGCCCACCCTGAGTACCTGGCACCACTGCAAGCAGGCGGCAGGTGACATGTGCCCCTCACCTCTGCCTGCCCTGATGGATCACTCCACTGCTGGGAGAGCGAGGGAGGCAAGGAACCATGTTCCAGCTGCAGTCTGTCTGCAAACTGCAGCCCCCATGGAGCAGCAAGATGCAATGGTGAGTCGGGCTCCATAATTGGCCCCAGCTGCCTCTGCCCTCTTCCCCCCCACACATGCAGCCAGGTCACATCCCTGCCCCCACATCCCCTCCCCACAGCTCAACCTGCCTCGCCCATGGGAGCCACTCACTGCTCCTCTAAGGAATTTGGCCCAGGCATTGCAGCACAGGCCCTGCCTGAGGGGATTTTTAGCGTGGGACAGAGGCAGTGCTGTGTTGGTACCCACACCACTCCTCTGGCCACCGCTGCCACAGGTGCATGAGCACAGCCAATCAGTGCCTGCACCAACCCCCTCCCCAGTGGAGGGATTGAAACCCCACTTCTCTTCAGGCTACTGGGGTCTGGCCATGCTCCCACTCCTGCTGCTGGAGCAGTGAACAAGTGAATGGGGCTGGGGAAACCTGGTAGGGGCTGCTTCTCCCCTCCCACTCCAGGCACACACCAGCTAGGCCAGGGTCGGGGTTTAAACACATCCCCAGTCACACTCAGGCCTGCAGGAGCCTGCCAATGCCCCCCACCTCAGTTCAGTTTCCCTCCAGCCAATGGCTTACTCAATGTTCCCCCACCTCCCCAGCCTCTAGCCTAAGCCACTGCAGGCATGTGCCTGCATTTTTTAAATCAAAAGTGAATGTCTGTTCACTTGGAAATTGGTTCAATCTATGCAAGTTAAACTAACCTGCAAAGATTGTATCGATTCAGGCTTGGGCTTTTTGAATGTCTGTCCCTAGCCCCAGAGATGTAGGCAGCTGCTAAATGAGATGGATTTGAGTGTTGTCGATATGCCTCAGCAACTGTGGGGGGTTCCAAGGCAACCCTGCCACATGAAGTACCCTTATTAAAGGGACATCAGGGGTTTCTAGATTCCCTGAGCCTGGAAGCAGCTGATCCAGAAAGCACAGAACTTTCCTCAGTCCCAGGGCCATCTGAATGAATGGTGGGTATACTCGAGACAAACAGACCTGAGGAACCTGAGTTTCTGAGCAACCTCCTAGATGAGCTGGTAGGTTTTTGGCAGAAATCTGCTTGGCTGGTTACACCCAACTATTACCTGTATGTTAGTGAAAGTTCACCAAAACATATCTATTTTCAAACATTTGTCATTTTCAACAAATCAACATTTTCTGCTGAAGTTTGAATTTTATTCTAAAATTCCTGAGCAGTGATAATCCTCAGTACTTCGAGAAATATTAACCTCTTCTTAAAATGTGTGTATTAAAGGCCCAATCAACAGTTGGGTAATAAAAATAATTTATGGCCAAAGTCTTCTTGTAAACTTGTTTCAGGTATGA